ATTAACTGTTCGCCATATTGCTGGAGTCTGAACCTGTATCGAAAACAATAAAGTGAAAAAAAAACCGTAGGAATGACCTAAAAGAGATGACCATTGATGCAGGGAGGGTTCTGATAACGGCAAAACGGAAAATTGGATCGACATTACCAATAATTCAAAGGTTTATAATATGTTTCATAGCTCTATCTTAAATCTTTGGAAGTATAACGTTGACTATTGGACACAGTAAGCGTATTGTAAATAATTAATTCGGTATTTTAGTAACTTTATCCACATTTACGTTTTAGATTTACGTTTTCCTATGGCTCCTATATGACGGTACCTTCGGGTATTCGGTATTTTGAAGATTAAAGCAAAATGTCATAGTGGGTTCTACAAACGATGCCAGAACATTTTCCATATAGATCTCCATATATGAGTACTCACCGTATTAGGTGTTTGTTGTTTTAAATATGATATTCAATAACAGATAATAATCCTTGTAGTAGAAATTTGTCTCCATTGGTTCCCGTTTCGGTATGGCCCCAGAAAAAGGCTCACCCACTGTATTGTTTTTTAAGAACTTTAACTGCTTTCTATAACCGATTTCAGAGATACTTTTATTTATTTATCCAGATATTTATTTAAAAATGAGTTCGTTACATAATGGTAGAGAGTATTTAAATTCATTCTCACCAACTTAATGTTTTTGGTTGTTTTCTACTTATTTGTTGACATTTAGTCCCCTAAAACTACTTATTTTGTGTGACATGATTCCGTTAAAATTCTGGGTAAATCATGGATTTTTAACTACGAGGGCAGTTCGGAAACTCTTAACCTTCCACAAAAAGCGTGGCATAAACAGAAAAAAGTTAAGTGTTTGGGAAAATTCCATCTCTGTTATGAACACATGTTAAATTTTGTTTCGATCTGGAAACTCCTTCCTATAGAAACAGGTGTTCAAAAAAGACGCATCCGCAATTTTTTTATACCCTACACCACAAGGTGGTCAGGGTATTATGTGTTTGTGCATTTGTTTGTAACAGGCCAAAGGAAACGAGATAGACCCATAGTTCCTTTTGATGATCTGCATAGAATCACGTTCTGAGTTGATTTATGCATGTAAGTCCGTTCGTCTTTCCATGTATTTTTGTAAACAAAGTACAGTTCGCAATTATTGCCCTATCCAGATGAAACTTTGCACAGATCATTTGTTTGGCCCAAGGACGAACCCTATTGAAATTGGAGATAATCGGTCAAAATTTAGATATAGCTCCCATATATATCTTCGTCCGATTTACCTTTTATTGTACACCAAACGTGTAATATAACCCTGAATAGAATGGAATTTTGCACATACAACCATATTAGGCCTGAAAATAATTATGCCAAATTTGATCGAAATCGGTTCAGATATCGGCCCCCATATATATTGTTCATCCGATTTTTTATATTTGTTACCCACAACCGTAATATGCACTCTGTAACAACGATATTCAGGGAAATATATCAAATACAGCTCAGAAATATCTTTGCCAAATTTTATCGAGATCGGTTCAGATTTGGATATAGCTCCCATAAATAAATACAAATGCTTCGGTATAATTAGTCCTTTGAACTTTAAATAATATGGGTTGCTGGATTTAAACGTGGACGCAAAGGCAAAAGAACAATCCAAACAATGGACTGAAGCTGGAGGAAGTGCCCAAAAGAAGGCGAAAACAATCCAATCGACTGATAAGGCTATGGCAACGGTTTTTTGGGGCCTCAAAGGTATTTTATTGATTGACTATCTTCAAGAGGGCAAAACAATAAATGCAGAGTACAATTTGCAACCTTTTTTGATCAATCAAATGTACGAATTCGAGATAAACGTCCTGGCTTACAACACAAAAAATAATTTTCAATTAAGACAACGCACCACCGCACAAGAGTGTTTTAACAATGGCTAAAATCAACGAATTAAAGTACGAGTTGCTTGACCACCCACCTTATTCTCCTGATTTAACTCCCAGTAACTTTTACTTGTTCCCAAATCTAAACAAGTAAAAAAACATTAAGTTCGGTCGGGCCGAACTTTTAATACCCTCCACCTTAGGGTAATGGAAACACACAAATACCAATTTTTAGACAAATTCGTGGGAAAATTTGGCTAAAATCATCAAAATACCGAATATCAAGAGGTACCGCTATATAGGGCTATACAAAAGCGTGGACCTATACATACAATATTTCGACAACATAGCTAGAACTCATTATGACCAACAAATTCCAATTTTCAGACAAATCCGTTATAAAATGTGACAAAAAACATCAAAATACCGAATATCGGGAGGTACCGTTTTATGGGGGCTATACCAAAACGTGGAACTATACATGCAAAGTTTTGCCACCGGAGTTAGAACCCTTTATGACCAACATATACCAAATTTTGGACAAATCCATGAAAAAATAGGGCAAAAATCATCAAAATACTGAATATAGGGAGGTACCGTTATATGGGGGCTATACCAAAACGTAGAACCCATTATGACCAACAAATACCAATTTTTAGACAAATCCATGAAAAAATAGGGTAAAAATCATCAAAATGCCGAATATCGGGAGGTACCGTTATAAGGGGCTATACCAAAACGTGGACCGATATATCTCATTTTCAATACCAACCATCCTAGACACAATACAAATTATTCTGCTAAATTTTGACGCTCTACGTCAAATAATGTGGGTTGTATCGTGATTTTAACAGACAGACAGACAGACAAACGGACGTCGTTAAATCGCGTTAGAGTTTTATGTTGATTATGAATATATACGACGAATATTTTGAGATTTTACAAACGGAATGACAAAGGTGGAATGTATAAAATTTCCCTGCTGACAAGCGTTTTACCTCAAATGAAGATGCAATTACACTATTTTGAAGACTTTGAGGAAAACTATTTTGATCAAGGAATATAATTGCTGGAAAAGCGTTGGATTAATGTGTTTCAGGAGATTATATTGAAAAATAAAAATATTTTTTTAAAACTAACTATTCTCTTTCATTGATAGGCTACAAAGTTTCCGAACCGCCCTAGTCAATTGTTTAGAAAACCCATTATTTAGTGATAGAAGTTTTTGCTGATTAATTAAACAAAAATAAGCTTAAATTCCTTAAAATGCACATTTAACCTGTAGAACGAAGACTTTTTGGAGCTACACCTAAATAACATCCAACTATTTACGGTAGTGTTGCTCATTATTGATTTATGAAATGAAACTAATAAAGCAAGCTATATGTTAATCTTAATCGATTTCAATAAAATTTGATGGATTTATAGATTTAGTCTAATTTTAGAAGACTTTAGTTTATTCGAAATTAATCGATTGTATCAAATTTATCCTAATGTAGGTGTATAGCTCATATCAAAGTAGGGGGAAATATATAGGAAACGATTACCACAAAATTTGACAAAGGTAACAACTGCATCTGACATATCCGAATATCATTTTAATGTGCTGTCTATAATGATCTGAACCCATTTTCATACTTGCTTCTAGTCCACATACGGCCTTATATCATAATTGGGCTGCATATACATATTAGGTGCACAATAGACGTGAAATCGGAAGACAATATACAGGGTGAGATAAAAAAACTGCAACAAAGTCAAACGCAATAATTTCTACATTTTTTTTTAAATTTAATTGATAGAAAGCAAAATATGTCGGAAATAGCATCAAATTTAAAATAAGTATAGATTTCTTCGAATTGTTCACCTTTGGCACGAATTACGGCCTTCAAACGGCAAATGAAACCGTCACACCCTGCCCGAATGTTGCTCTGCGGTATTTTGGCACATTCCCGGCGAAGCGCTTGCTTGAGGTGATCGATACTTTGGTATTTTTTGTGCCAACCTTGCTTACCAAAATACTCCAGACACAATGGTCCAACAGATTGGTATCCGGAGATTTTGGTGACCATTGTGCGCTGAAAATGAAGCGAGGAACCTCATTTTGTAACCATTCTTGGTAGGCGCGTGCTGAGTGCGATGGTGCTGAATATTGTTGGAATGTCCAAGGTCTTGCGTGCGCAAGGCTTTAATACACCCTCCAGAATATTTTCGCGATAACATTCGGCATTTATTCTGATGCCACGGTCAATTAATACGAGCGGAGAGCGACAATCGACTGTTATGGCGACCCACACCATCACCATGGCGGGCCCTTGAGTTCTGTTAGCCAACCAAGGTGCACTTTTTCAACTGACCTCTTTGGCAAGTAAACACGATTATTTTGTTTGTTTACAAACTGCTGGATAACGAATGTTTTCTCATCGAAGTAAACCAAATTTTCGGCCAAGCGAAGCAACTCTTTAGCTCTTTTGAGTCTATTTTCTTTGTTGCGGTGTAACTTCTTGCACTTTATGGAATTTCAATCAAATAATAAATACACTCTGCATCCATAAGTCTAAGGTTATGAAAATTTAAACCCATAGATCATGCTACGATATCCACTGTTGATTAAGCGACTTATGAGTCGTATTTAGTGTGGATTATAAGGGCCGTGATTTAAAAAGAAGTTTTAATTTCGAAGTAATTGCCACAAAGCATATACAAATTAAATACCAAAATAAATCGATTAATTCGAATGTTATAAACTTTTTATTTTAGGGGAATTATTAATAAAATTTATTTTTATTTTTTTTTTTGAATTAATGTTAGGTAACATTAGTTATGTGACCGCCCTTTTTTTGTATTAATTAGATAAACTTAAGTAAATTTAAGACTTAAGAACTACTGTTAGACAATAAGTTATTGAATATCTATGTTTAGAGAGAGATGGAAAAAATAAACTTGAAACTTGTTATAAACTTTTGGTCAGTAAACTCGCTAGCTCGACGTCAAATATTTCTGACATGATTATTTAAATTTCATAATCCTTTCAACATTTATTTTTGTTGTTTCATGCACAACCTAACAAACATTTTCCGCAGAATGTTGTGTTTGCTTGAGAGTACAGGGAAATGAGGGAAAAAGCAAGAGTGTTATTACATTTATTTGCTACTCATTGTGTCAATGAATTTTAATACAAAACTGGATGATATTTTGTTTACTTAACGCAATTAATATTTATATGGGTAATAAACTTTCCGCATTCATCTCCTCGTCATCGGAGTCGGGCGTCGTGTCACTTTTAACTGCACCAGTTCGGGGACGTTCTGGAGGGGGTCCCAACGGATCCGTATGTTGAGACACTGCCAAAAGAAAAATTATAAATTGCATGTTATTAGAAAAACTACATAGAGCTCAAGTAAATAAATTAATAATTGCAAAAATTAAAGATATAGTGGATATTAGAGATGAAGCTATATTTGAGTCCAGTTCTATATTAAATGTTATACACTCATAATAAAAATCTGACTAGTAGTTAGATTACAAAGTTTCTAGTGCCTTTTCTTATTAAATATTTTATTTGAATGGTCTGATAGGATTATTCCTTTCTACGAACAAATTTTTTTAATTGCTTACAATATTTGTTTTACGTTTAAAAAAGTATGTGCCATGGTAGAATGAAATCAAGGTGGGGCACTGAAACCAATCGATTTTAATTTTATATTTGCAAAATTTTCCAACTTAGCCTATCTTCTCTTCATTGTGCTTTGATGCATTAATTTGTGTTCGTTGAACGTTTTACCTGTGTAAACAGAGTCCGTTGCGCGTACATAATGTTCGCCATTAAAGTTTGCCGATATAGGATTCGATAGGCCATTGTCAGACTCAGACATTCGATCGTTGCGAAAAGCTTTAGAATGAAAAATACCAGAAATATTTTGGGTGCCACATTCTTCTTCATAATGGTACTAACCTCTTAACCGGCTGCTTCCTACCCTGCCTGAGGCGGCCGATGACAGACGCTGCTGCTGATAACGCTGTTCATTTTCCCTCTCCGTTTGGGCTTTATGCAAACGTGCATACTCCTGCGAATACTTCTCATTTAATTCGGCCATGCCCAAACTTTTCGTAACCTGAACGAGGGCCCGCACACAGTTCAGATTGTCCGGAAATAGGGCGTAAATCTTCTCAAACATTCCCAGATACTGTTTGGGTGGCAAATAAGAATTTCGAAAGCAACTGGCAATGCGTAGCATCAGATTCGGATCGTTAGGATCGGCTAGAACAGCTCTTTCGTAATAATACAAGGCCTTCTCAATGGCCTGTAGCTTTATGTAGTAGGATCCAATCGAACTGGCGATGCTGATGTCGCTGGGGTTAATGCGATATGCTTCGTTGTAGTACTGATTGGCTTCCTGGTGGTCATTTAGCTGTTCATATATCGAACCGACTTTCTCAAATAGCCGTGAATCAATTTCTCCAGCCGATATGCCCAGGACCTGAAGATAAGACTGCAGAGCTGTCGAAGTATTATTCAACTTGAAGTTGTTACCCCCGATAGTGGTCGTATTCAGTTTCTCCTGCAGCTTGGCACATTCGTAATAAACATGGCTATGCTGCACCGAGTGCGGAACCATTAGTTGTGCCTTCAAATTTTCAAATTGTTCTTCGGCCAGGGCCAAGTCGTTTTCCTGCATTGCCACAAGGCCCAAGTTGTAATTGGCCTCAAAGTTGTCCGGCTGGATTTGCAGTGCTCTTTCCAGTTTGTTGCGTGCTGCCACATAATTCTGTTTGTGATAGTCAATGATACTGGCATTTACCAACGCCATGGCATTGCTCTGCAGTGCTCCGATTTCGTTTAATTGCTGGATGCAGTGTGTGGCCATTTCCAAATTGCCCAACTAATTATGTTAATTAAAATTGAATTTAAAGTGTTTTCGTGAGAAATTGAAAATAAATGAGAGATGTAAAACAATTTACAACATTGTAAATGTGACAACAATTTACAGCAACTGTATGTGGAGAGAGTGCACGTTTAGCTACGTACATTGCAACAAATCTATCCTTGTTGCATCTTTCATTAAAGAATGGAGTTTGTCATGCTGTTTGACCCGACAAAGAATGAGGGACATCGTTAAGGCTTTTTTTTATAAATTTATAAAGTCTCTATAACAGAGAGTAATGTTTTTCTAAACGTAACTTGAAGCTATACAACATTTGCTGATTGCTACCAGTATCATGATTTCATGCCGGCGAACAGTTTTTTGGGTTCTTGATATGACTTTGTTGCAAAGTAAGTATCGAACATTCTCAAGTGAACGACAATCACGTCCCAAAAATCATCATAAAAACTATTGCAACGTTAAGGTAAGAATTCGCTGAGTTCTACACTGGCTTAACTTCATATTAGTGTCTACTATAGAAAGTAATCTTTTTAAAAACGAAACTGACAGCTTTGCAATATTTGTGATCGGATGCAATCATGTTATTGCTAGTGATTTATTGGTAATAGAAAGTAACAAGAATTTAAGCCAATGGGGAATACTCCAGACCTAACACAACTGATTAAATTTTCAGCAATGACAAAAGACAAATGCCAAATCCGAACGAATTGAAGTAGGTTGATATAATTTTACTCAGATGTAGCTTCCCATCTTCGGTATTTTGATAATTTTTGGGATATTATTCACAGTTGATTCTAATTTCGTATTAGAAGTTCCAAATGGATTCTGCAAGTTATAACCGAAAATTTACTATGTAGGTATATGTCTTCGTATAGCTCCCATAGAACGATACCTCCCTAAATTCGGTATTTTTATCTATTTTGGGATATTATTAACAGGAATTGTTTCAAATTTCGTAATTGCAGTTCGTAACGGGTATTGCAGCCTGTGACGTACAATTTTCTATGCAGGTCCAGGTGTTTGTATAACCGCCATATAACGGTACCTCCCTATATTCAGTATTTTGATGATTTTAGCGACATAATTCACCGGAATGGCTTCTTGTTTCGTATTCGAATATTAGAGTGGCCAATGACAAAACTTGTCTATGAAGGTCCACGTCTTCGTATAGACCCAAATATAATGGTAACTCCTTAAATTCGGTATTTTTATGATTTTAACAGTATTTTTCAACGTATTTTTTAATTTCCAAAAACTTTCCATATGGTGGAGGAGATTTGAACGCACCGCCCTCCGGCCAAGTTTCAGAAACAAGAAGTTGAGCATCCGTAGAGTTAAGCAGGGAGTTCACCAAGGTGGGGTGATATATCCGGAACTGTTTAACCTCTACCTTTTTGACATTCTAAGCCCTTATTACACTTTTCACCACATGGACTGCGGAGATGAGGCTATCTTTGAATGTACAGGTAGATGGTGTTGTAATTCCGACCACCAACTAACCTCTTACAATGCGATAGGCCGGTCTGTGGTAAACTATGCGGCTCCGGTGTGGTCCGCCAACTTTAGTGCTATGCAGTGGAAAAATATTCAGTCCTGCCAGAATACCGCCTTAGGCAAGAGGGTGCCTCCTTATGACACCTGTCGATCACCAACATGAGGAGGCGAAAGTCTTACCGGTGCCACAGCATAATAAAACGCTGTCAATGCCATACCTCTTTCATCTACGTACAGATATATAAGAGAGAACCTCTAGATTAACAAGCCTATCAAGCGGGACTGAGTAGTATTCACTTTAACGCGGTCTCAGAAGTCATTGAAGGATATAGAGTGAATACTGTACTAGGAGACCATTCCCCTCCCATCACAGCTAAAGAGCGAGAGCTACCCCGATAAATCCGAGCTGTTACAACAACAACAATAACGTCCTTTTTGACTCATTCATTGTTTTGGGAAGTGTGCCGAAGATAATATGACTCTACCCTACATAATATCCTTTTTTTGGCGCTTCTTTTGAAAATGTTCAGCAAGCTCTGGTAACACAGATAAAAAATTCAAGTAATTGTTTGCAGCCGTCAATATTTAAAAAAATTGAGCATTTTTATAAGGCTCTTAGTCTTACTCTGCGTTTCGTTATAATGTTTATCAACGTTTAGATGAACTTACTCCGAAGAACCACTAGAAATTACTGCCAACATAACTAAAGACAAAAAGCCATCCATAGCAATTTAATGTAATATACGAAAGAAAGAAATTCCCATTGCTTACACAGCATAGAATTTAACACCGATTCCAATTTTGAAAACCGCTTGGAAAGAACAAATCCATTGATCAACACCATCCGTATGTTCGGTAATGAGGAATTAAAGTTGTTAAAAAAAACATTTTCTAAAAGTGTGATACTTGCAAAATTTCACGACCATTACGTTATCTTAAGCCCGCAGGTCTAAATAAATTTTTGTTAATTTTGGCCAAATTAACACCGGTCATTGTTTGTTGTTTGTGCGTTTGACCACATACTTACATTGATGTAAATGAAACTTAAATTGGTGAGCGCACTGGCCGTCATGGATCCTTCACTTTTGCGGTCGTACATTTGCAGAGTTTCAATTGCCTGATTGACATCGTTCTGACGCAGATAGACCAAAGCCTTATTCAATTCCAATTCGCTGGCCAGCCATGATAGATTGGACGTTTTAATGACCTCAATGCACCAGTTGTATCCTGTAACAAATTGCGAATGTATGAATGTTCCAAACAAAAACATGTTCACTTTCATGTAAGCATAAGTTTAATGTAGGGATGCCAAACCGATGAAAAACGATGAGAATATAATTTCTAATCGCAAAAAAATTTAAAGTATATATTTCATCCGATTTGATATTTCAGGCGTGCAAACCTTTAATGTGCTCTTAATAACAATGCTTTTTACTACACATACAGAATTTGTCGAGATCGGTTCAGAATTGCATACAGTTTCCATTTATATCATTCTTCGATATTAAAGTCCTTGTCCACCAAATGTGTACAGGGTGAGATGAAAAAATTGCAACCAAATTCTGACTGCTGTCATTTCCAAGCCACTCCGACAGCTGTTAAAATTATACCAGTGACAGCTCATTATATTGTTTACAAGCGTACTAAATCATTTTGGTGAGAATTTTGCAGAAAAAAAAGTTATTCGTGATGGAATTCAAGCGTGATAGTGTGATTTCTTTGTATTTGGATGGAAAACCACAAGTGGCTAAAGTTAGAGCACTCCAGCATATAAATGTGAATAAATCTTTTGTGTCTCGTACCATCGCTCGTTACCGTGATACTAGTAGCGTAGACCAACATCAAGGAATTGGACGGAAGAAAACAGCAACATCAGCAGAAATGCTTCGAAAAATTAAGAAGCGAAACATGGCTCGTAAGCTGAACATATCGCAACATTCCATTCGGCAAATATTGAAAAATGAGCTCGGGCCAAAACCATTGGCGTTATGGCGAATAAAACTGAATTGAGTAAATCTCTAAATTCACTTTAAGTTGGGTAGAAATACTGCGAATTTGGAATCAAATTGGGGACTCCATTCGAGAGTTATCGACATGCAAATGTTGTAGGCAAACACCAGAGTCGTTACAAATTCTCAATTGCTGTTAATGCCGAACGAGAGAAAGAGAGAGAGAGCTGCATGATTGAAAGTTTTTGAATGTTATTATGCAAGCCACACACGTTACAACTGGTTGTACAACTGGGAGAGGTTGTATTCAAGATTGTATCGTTTGTGGCCCGGTTGTACGAAGTTGTATGAAAAATCAATATTTTTTGATATTTGGCATGTTGTACCAACCGATTGTAACGTTTGTGGGTATGTCGCATACAATTTCATTTTTTTTTTATTTTTGAAGAGGCAACACCATTGTTTCGCACATCAAACCATACGAAATCCAATCAAATGTGTGATTTTAATGTGTATATAAAAAGGAATTTTTAATTTATAAAATGCAATTTCAAAAATTAATTATAAATAAAAGCTATTGAGTCAATTATAGAGCATGCATTTTTTCCGGTGTCATCTTAACTCAAATAAGCTCTACGAAAAGTGAAGTTGTACAAACAAGTTGTACACTAAGTTGTATCGTTTGTGACAAAAACACACAATTTGAGAACTCTCCAAGTTGCGCAACCAGTTGTATAGTGTGTGGCTTGCATTAAAAACGATGATCAAATATTTATACAAAAAGTTCAGTAAACGAGAGCGATTAAAGAGAGGAATTTAGAGAGTTTCCAAAATTTTGCAGGAAAAATTTACTCAGTAAAATTTTATAACATCAACTGATTGAAAAACAGTTGCATTGTGTCCCATGCAAAAATGTTTTCAAATTTCAAGCAATACTTCTCATATATTAATTATTTTTGAGAATATACAAAAATGTCAATCGTCAAATATGTCAAAAAATTCAATTTTCAGAATGTTGTTCGAAAACTTTTTGAAATATTTGAACGTGAGAGAGAAAATCCTCTCAGTAAACATTACTTAGTAGTTTTTACTAGAAAAGTTATCGCAAATACCAAATACCTAATCTCTCATTGCAAATCACATTCGGCATACCTACATTTAAGAAAACTATACGCATACACGTTTCCTACTTCCGCTTACCATCGTTGTAGTTCTCCTCAATGATGGGAGAAATTAAATCGACAATCATTGTTATGGCGCGTTTTTCATTGTTTTTGCGTTGCCTGATATAAATTGCCAGCTCGTCGGATTTCAGCGATTGAAATATGTAGCCATTACGGTCGACAGGCCTTAAACCAGTCTTTGGGCGATGGTCGTTGGCATTGTTGCCGGCACCGGCAACAACACCGGCACCAACACCAACATCAGCACCATTACCAGTGAAGTTGCTGCCACTGTCGCCACCACTGACGCCGCCATTATTCGTATTGTTATTTTTATCATCGATGTCGAAACTGCTGCTGCCACCGCCATTTCCGCCACTGCCATTACCGTTTACGGCATTGATTACCTCTATTTCGGCCGTTGGCAAATTTTCGAATCCATTCTGATGATGTAAATTGCGTTGGGATTGGTGGGGCGGCGGCGACTGCTGCTGCTGGTCGTGTTGGCTCTGCTGTTCGCTGACCACATGTTGTTGCAGCTTTAGTATGCTGTTCTCATTGTCCAAATCCTTTTCAGCCTCCATCGGCTGGACATCACATAAATTTCGGAAAGTGCTCTTTATTTTATCCACATCGCCCATGGCATAATAGCAGAGTATCAAGTGGATGCCGCTTCGAATGTCCGCACGCTCAGACATGATAAACTCAAAGCTGGCGGCCGCATCGGCATATTGGCCCATACGCACGAAGAGTATGCCAATGTTCTGGGTGATTTTCAGGCGCAATTGCTTCAGATTGTTCGGCACGGAGTCGAGGGCCATCCGATACATTTTAATCGCCTTCGGATACATACCCATGCGATAGTATATATTGCCCATATTCAGTTTTAGCTGATTCACATGTGGAAACATTTTGTTCTTTGTCATGATGCTGTAGGTGTTTAGCGCTTCGATGTGCATGTCATTGCGCTCATACTGCTCGGCCAGGTTGAAGAAAACCTGCAAAAGTTGTAATGGATGAAGCATGAATTAGTCAGTCAGAACGTTGATTCAATAAGTAGCTTGTGCGGTGTCCTGCGTGTGTCCTACTCCACCAGAAGTTAGCGGAACCCTTTCCGTTGAAGAAAATCGAAAGTTTGCAAACAAAATGAGAAGGAAACTTGAACTCTTGAAAATAAGTGAAAGGGTGTCAACATCTATCCGGCTGTGCTTATGGCTGCCGAGAAGAAAAGAATAAATTTGCTGCCGGATGTGAAAAGTAGGTGTGAGAATTGAAAGCAGAACTGGGTATCAGTTGTTGAGCATACATAGCTTATTTGCTCGAATGACTTGACGGAAGTACAGACGATGGAACAAACAAACTAAGCTGGCATGCCGAATGATAGACACCCATAAGAAAGAGATGAAAAATGGAATTGGGAAAACTTTTAGTTTTTCATCTAGAATTTCAAGTTGGCAAAAGTTCCTAATGATGCAAAGATAATAGAATTAAAGGTGAGGCCAGGCAATGAAACCCATATGTACAGGGACATTTGGCGGAAGGCTACTCACGAATAGCAGAACTGAAGAGGATATAAGAAAATATTTCACCCACGTCGATTCTTTAACGAAAAATAAAGTTAAAGTGTTGAACTATTTTAAATACCTAATTTAAGATTCGGCTCGACGTATCATTTCGTGCCTAACTTTAAAGTTCAGTAAGTAAGAGCAATGCACAGTGATCGCTGCCATTGGCCAAAATTCAAAAAATGAAAATCAGATATTTTTTTATTCAAATGTGTACACATGAACTCTTAAGAGGTTAAGCTTTTTAGAAAACATAATAATTTTGGCTTCATTCTAACGGCCCACTTCGAAACTAGCATCAAAAAAGAGAAAATGGGGTTAGTTGTTTTTTCAGTGGGATCAGTGAAAAAGTGGAGTAAAAATAGATCTGTTTTACAAAATTAAATACATTTAAAAATGACAATTCTTGGCATAATTATTGAAAAGCAAGGTATTGGCTTATTTTTAGTGCAGTAATTTGTGTGTTTAGTAGTTATGTATAATATAGACGATGTGAGTGTTCTGAGTTGCCTTTAAGATTTATTTTGAAAATAAAATTGGATTTCAGTTAAAGTTTTAATTGTTTTCCCCCCTGAATCCTCCAATGTAATCGTTTTTACTCCATTAGTAATGGTCCTAAGATTCTAGAAGTGCTTATTAAACTTTCAGATTTTGTCAGATTTGTATGTTATGCCCAATATACTGAAGTGACTTCGCTCCAATTTTGTCAGTTCTATGGTGCTAGTGACATACTATATGTTTTTGTTGTTTGGGATTGATAAGGATATAATTGAGGGGTGTTAAATAATGTTGCCTGGGTATACTGGGTCTGGGTCTGGGTATACTATTAATGTCGAAAAATTTAAGGCCTTTGCACTGGAAACGGCTAAGGAGTTATCAAATAGATATCCATGGCACTATCTTCCACCCGCAGCTCATAAAATTTTAATACATGCACCCGACGTTATAAATTTGTCATTGGAGAATTATAGGAGGTGGCCGTGGAGTCTAGAAACAAAGATATAAAAAAGTTTTAACTAAATCATACCCGAAAAAATTCTCGTGTCTCAACAAACACAGATCTTATTAACCGTCTTCTTCTGAGCTCTGGTCCTTTTATAATGGGGCAGCGAACGTTACGAAACAATAAAAAATTTATATTATTAAAATCTGCATTTGATTTACTTATATAACACTGAAATTTATAAATGTTCATTAGTAACATTGATTTAAGTTTATATTGAATTGTTTATTTTGATAACAAAAAAATATTTATTTTGTTTACAAAAAAATAATCAAATTTGTATAAAAAATGCTTTTATTTTTAAAGGTACCTTTACAGGGGGACTCTACCTGAAGGCGGGCCGTTCCAAATAATTTTCAGTAAGACTATTTTTTAGCTCTTTAGAACGTAAAATGTCAAATAACAGAACAATCTAGTGTAGAAATGTGACAAAAATTGGGCAAATTACCCTTATTCGGGAGGTACGTTGTAAGGGGACCATGCCAAAACATGCATCGACCATATCCATTTTGTCACATTTTTTATTTTTATACCATTAATGTACCATAACCAAAGATTCATATTGATATCTGCACTGAAAGTATTTTTGGCCGCTGTTCCCATACGACCTGGACCACTGTGCAATGGTCGAGACTAATTTTAACAGTTTATTAACTGAAAGCTTGCCAATTCAATCTAGGAAATCTTTCTCATCAAGAGTTTGATTTGCTGACTTTTAATCGGCATAGAAATTGGCAAGAGTTTACATATTACTTTTATTTTCAACCATGAGATATTTGTGATATTGACATAAAAAAATTGCATTGTTTCACTCCAGAAGAGAAAACTAAATGTTCACAACACCGCAAGTGGTATAGTACATAGTATAGTAAATATTTTAGGTATTTCATATATAAGTTCACTTTTGGCATACTTAAGGCAAGGGACAAGGGCAAAGGACATTTTGAGGATGTTCATAGAATCACTTTCTGAGACGATTTATCAATGTCAGTCCGTCCGTCCATGTATTCTTGTGAACAAAAGGACGAGCCCTATTGAAATTGGTGAAAATCGGTTCAAATTTAAATATAGCTCCCATATATATGTTCAACCGATTTCGGGTTCTAAATGGCAAATATCAGTTCAATTGACGGAATTCAGTCTAGAAGCAAGTACATCACATGTGGTGAAAATCGGTTCAGAGATAGCAATAGCTCCCATATATGTTTCATGCGATTTGGTTTTTAAGTCCCTCATATTCGTACTATGAACCCTAAAAGAATGATATTTAGTACTAGATATCAGATATAACCCAGAAATACTTCTGCCAAACTTTATCAAGATCGGCTCATATTTGGATATAGCTCCCATGTATAACTTCAACCGATTTCGGGTTAATTGTGCACCAAATGGCTAACATCAGTACAAAAGTCATGAATTTTGGTACATCCGACCAAAATTCAGTCTAGAAGCAAGACATCGAATTCGGAGAAAATCGGTTTAGATATAGCTTAGCTCCCATATATAGGTTATCTATACAGGTCCAGGTCTTAATATAGCTCCTATCTAACGGTACCTCCCTATGTATGGTATTTTGATGATTTTGGCTACATTATTATTATTATTATTATTATTATTATTATTATTATTATTATTATTATTATTATTGTTATTATTATTATTATTATTATTATTATTATTATTATTATTATTATTATTATTATTATTATTATTATTATTATTATTATTATTATTATTATTCACCGTTTATTTCAAGCTTCTAATGCCTACGTAGGTGATAAAATTTGGAGAATTTTATCTTTTTCGAAAATTTTCAAATTCGTTCTTACTGCTTTTTTTCTTGTTTTAATATAAACCTTCTCGAAGTAATATCAGCACTCCATAGCAATGTTATTTGGTATAAAATATTAAAATGTATCGTCTAATTTAGTGAAAATTGATCTAGAAGTGGATATACCTCCCATATATTCAAACTTCAAATAAACTGCATAGTGTTGTAGGGTATCATATAGTCGGCCACGGCCGACTTTTGACATTTCTTTACTTGTTTTATTTTCTAAATGTTATGTTATCATGTATCATCTTCAAAAAATATAAGCTTCGAAGCTTCTTCCATTTTCAGCGTAAAGACATATCAGAAGTCTGTAGCCAAGACAGATTTAATAGGTCACATATTTCGCATGATTTTGACAAATAAGGATGACAATGTTGCAGGGAAAAGGGAGGACAGACAAACTTTTGGGGCATCAACTTTTGTCGAAATGGGGAAATGGCATAAACTAAGTCTCTCAGCAGCGGTTGGCTAAAAGGGTTATTTCTCGTTGAGGAATAGTGCTCAGAACCTCCATCATCACAAAGAGAATTTAAGCAATGATCATTGGCTGCAGACCAAGCTCATACTCTCTAGTAATGAAGATAAGACGACCATGTACAGGATAGTAGAAACCCCTGATTTTCTTAGAGTGTCGTTTTCGCTTTTTTACGATTGCAGAAATATTCTGTCGGTAGCAGTTCGAACCTGAGATGAACAAAAAACTCCCCTCTGTAGGGTGGAGACATAATGGTGGAATTTTCTATCTACATGAAAGATTTGAAATACAATTGTGAAGGAGTGTTGAATACCGCAACCCGCAGTACGTACCGTTAATGATTTAGCTGCTATAATCCTAATAGCTCTTAAGAAGTGTGTCGGATTTAGAAAAAAACAAAGATCAGAACAAGTAAAAAGGGGTTATGAAATGAAAGAAATCATTGAAAAAATAAATGTATCAGAATTAAATATTGGGACCAATCGACAGTTTTTGACAATGAAATCGGTTGGTAAATCCGTAAGGTCGATGGTATCGGTTTCTTGCCACATTGTTTGTTATCTATTTCGAGTTTCAAATGCAACGTTAGAAACAAAAACCTCTTAAAAGTTGTGACTAAAATCGCCAAAATACAAAATATTCGGAGGTACCGCAATATGGACGATATAATAGATGATGGACATATTCCAAAAGTCTTCTGCCACAAACGATTAAACGATTCCCTAGAAAAATGTGGATAAAATAATCAGTATGATGAATATCGTGGTGGTACCGAACTGTGGATGCTGTAGGAAAACGTGGACCTATGGGTATAATCATCTGCCACAGGAGTGAGTACTTAATTTTAAACAATTCAGTTAGAAAATATGACTTTGATAATTAAAATACCGATACCTATATAAAAACCGTGGATTGACATGACAATTTGCGAACTTGATCTGCCTACTGACAATATACACATATGTACAAAATCTAAACCTTCTATCTCAATTTGTTCTAAAGATAGCGTGATAACAATAGATGGTCATCGCTGATGATTAATAATATTTATATATTTTTTAGGGACCAACATGGGTATGTCGAGGTGTTACAAATGGATTGACAAAGTTAGTATACCGTCAATAGTATGGTGGAGAGTATAATAATGGTCAGACGAACAAAAAAGCATAAACCGACTCAGAACATGACTCCATAAAGATCATCAATCTATCTCGTTTCCTATTGATACTGGTTTCTGAGTTATCACAATTTCTTTTCCTTTCAATAAAACATGTTAGAAATTTTCCGACAGGTATGTAACCTCAGCATTTGAATTATATAATTTTCCCACTTGATCAAAGCATAGGCAAATATATTGGGACGTTCTTAGTTTGATGAGAATCGGGAACTCATTTACACACTATTCAAAATTCTGACCTTTGTGGGGGATGTACAGGACTGAATAAATCACTTTTTTACACAAGACCTAAGTTGTATCAGTACATGCCGCGCATGAACTAGGTTGTAATGATGTTTTTTATTGCAAACCTTTTGGCATTAGTGGGGGAGGTACCAAAAACAATGGTCCAATACATTTACACAATTTTTTACTCTTGGGATGTCTTCATTTTGAATTAAATCGGACATCGATTTTACAAAATGTTTGCCATTTGTGGGGCAGTACTAATATTCGTTATTGTGATGATTATATTCACATTTAAAACGGAATTATTCACATTTCGTGTGTGTAGTTTTTGCTTACACTTCTCATATAGCCCCCATATAACGGTTCATTCCGATATTCTCTATAATAATTATAGGAACGTTTTCAACCCAATTATATCAAACAAATGATTTAAAATTGGCTAAACAGATCCTTGTCATGGTAAAGCCACGGTGTTGCTTCGAGTTATTTGATATTTTGAGGATCGTAAAAAATCCCTTTCTGATTCGATTTTTGGATATCCGTATGCCCGTCAGTCTGACCATGTATTTTTGTGAACATAAGGGTTGAATTTTTGCACATTAAACTAAATTTATCCTGGAAGTACATACGACATTTGGTGAAACTCGGTCCCCATATATCTATTGCCACTATACATATTTTTTTTTATTTTATCCCTCCCAAAGTTATATAATGTACTCCATTGCAATGTAATTTGGTACGAGAGGTACAAATGCCTTCGTCTAATTTGGTGAAAATCGATTCAGAGTTGAATCTACATTCCATATAATAGTTCCCTTTGATTCAAAATTATAACTTCTCCAAAGAACACAATTCCCAATATAATCGTCCATTTGTAAAGATTAGCTCTACTAAATATGAATAGTGGTGTAGGGTTTCGACCTTTCTTTACTGGTTTCAAATAATTGTTCGAAATTTTATATTTTAAGTTCATATTTATAGACATATTTAGAAGTGCTACTTTCCAAATGGCGAATGGTATTCAAATAAACCCTCTTACTCGGAATGGAAGGTATATTAAATTTGTCATTCCGCTTGTAACACCTCTAAATATTCGTCGGACACCTCATAATGCTTATTTATTCATGATCAGCATAAAATTTGAAGTCGATTTAACTATGTCCGTCTGTATGTTGAAATTAAAAAAAAAACACATATTTTTGCCGATTTAATCCTAATTTTTCAAACAGATTTGTATAAAATTCGATATTTGTAGTTTGTAATGGGTTCAGGCGCCGGGGGCAGAATATTGTCTATATTGGTCCTATATAAAACGGTACTTCGTGAAATTCGGTAAATTTAGTATTTAAGGCAATATGAAGCTTTCCCTGCAGCTGAAAATTGTCTATATAGGATCACATTATGGTTTAATGCCCACGTAACGGCATTCCATTATCCATACATCTGGAATATATACTCACCGCATAGGTTAGATCGAAGTTATGAAATATGTTTTCGCCATGTTGATCCCGAAATCTATGTAAAGTTCGATCCAATGAAAATGCCTCCTTTGCCTTGTTAAGCGCCTCGGCAGCAGCTGCTTTCATTTCCGAAGTGAGTGTCTCCGGACCGCCCGTTTCACCATTTAATTTGTGATTCGATGATGCCTTGGCGGCCAAAACAATTGACGATTCCAGTAATTTCACTATTTTTGCTTCCAGATTTTTATATTTCACCTGGGGACTTTAAGAGTGAAACGTGCCATTTTGCAACAAACAATTGGCTCGCTTTTTTATCCTGTCACTTACCTTACTTCTTTTTTGGCCACCACCGCCGCATTGGCGGAGGAGAGTGTTTGCTGTTTGGCCTTTTCAACGAAAAACTGATCAAAGCGTTGCCCAGCTGAACCGCTGTTGTTGGCTGCATAGCCCACGGCACGTACCGATGTGGAAGGACGTGCCTGTGCTCCTTTATCGCCTCCCAAGCGGCTGCTAACTAAATTTCCACGCTAGAAAAACAATTTCGTTTTGGTAAATTTAAATTCATTTTCAGCAAAATTTACATATGCATTGAATGGCTAGGTGGCTGTTCGTAACGAGTTTCAGGGGGACGAACATGTTTATGCGGGGTCTGGAGCACACTTATTGAATAAAAGGTCCAGGCCAGATTGGTTTAGACGGCATTGGCGGCGATCCCTCGACGCTTGCATGTTTTACAGACCGAACAACCACGTGACGACAAACAAACACACACACCGAGGAATACATACCGAAAACAGTAACGATGTTGGGGGACGACCAGCAGCAGTGGGAGGTGGTTGTGGTGGAGCTGCTGCTGCTGCTGCTACTGGTGTCGGAGTGGGAACAGCTTCCACAGTACCAGTAGATAGTGGAGTGCCAGCGGCATCCACAGTAATTTCCGCATTCATTGCAGAATGTAATTAATTTTTTTAGCTGGAATGCAGTTTCGGTCGCCACAAATACGCAGTAATTTTATGTAAAATCCACCAACATGGATCGGGTAAAGACAGTTGGGTTCTCTCAGTAGGCATAAATGTACGAGAATGCGAGTGTTTGTCTGTGCATGCCAGTCAAGGTCCAGTCTAAGTAGGCATCTCGATTACAATTTCTGCAATGTTTTAACAAATGTTAGAGCAAAAAATAGACCAGAAATCCGACGTTTTGTTGGTTGTTTTTTTTTCTTTCTAAATCTGCCATGCGAAAAAAGGCCGCAATAGTTGTGGCTGAAAGGAGTGACGAGCGAGAATGCTTCAAATGCTCTCAACCAACGCCAGCTTGTCCGGCAACGAGTTAACACAACTACCACCACTTGAATTTGACCGTTGTCCTTACAGGCCCTGTCTACAATGTTGCCAGAGGTCGGGTGGTTGTTGCAGTGAGTGTGGTTGTTTGTTTAGGTTTTTGACACTGTTGCCTTGGAAACGGGACAATCGTTAGGCCACCAGAAAAAGAAATTATGGCCTTGTTATACTGTTGGTGGTTGACTGCGGGCCATATATTCTGGTTATTTTTCCATTCATTTCTGCTGTTCGGTGGTGTGTGTGCGTGTGTGTGTTTAGTGCACTTTGAACACATTCTACCGCGCTTGGACTGCCTGGTTGGTTGGCTGGCTGGCTGGCCACATTAACAAAGCACAGGACGAACGACGATATAACAAACAAAGTATTGAAATATTAAAAATACCCATAAACAAAACTATCAAAAACATTGTATCGACTCGCACTCCCATCCCATCAACGGAAAATCCCAGCCTCAGTAAAGGACTCCATCGAAAATTTCATCATGAAACAATTGAGCTGTGTTTGCCTTGTGCCTTAATATTTTCATCATCAGTTTTTATTTATTCCTTTTGTTTTCTTTTTCACTCGAATTTTTTGACACACACGCACAAACACACACAGAACACAAATTGGAATATTTAAAGTTGTGTGGGGTACAGAGGTTCAAAAACGAGAATGGATATGTACAAGAAGCGTACAACGTTCGTACTTTCACAATTTTCAACAATTTGTATCCATTGAGATTTTCAACTGTCAAATTACAGTCATTTCGTGTGGAAACCGATGTATTGACAGTGAGCCTAGAAAATACTGAGTACTCAAACGCTAATTAGGGAAACTTATTCTGGATGTTGTGACTGAAATTTGAAAAATAGTACTGATTAGAAATATATTGAAATATATATTTTGCGGCTATTTATGTTGAATTAGGATGATTTTACTTAAAAATGTTGTGCAAAATATAAAAGTAGAAGTGTGGACATAGTCAATTGGGATTCGAAACTTAGCCAGAATATATGCATTTTTACTAGATCTAGGGTCTTCAACGAATATTTCAAGACATTGAAGTTTGTCATAACGAATTTCAACTTAAGGTGATTGCCTTAAATTCTTAGCAAGAAAGTTTTCTTATCAAATTCTGTAAAGTTCAGAATGAATCGTAAAGATAGCAATGTGAAAAGATCACCTGTGCCGAGGAATATCGGGGAATAAGCGAGTAAAAGCAAGTTAAACAAGTTGAATCTTGACAGCCAATGTCTGCTTGTTTACATACATTTTGACTTGCATTGTGATTATTCAACCCTTTGACCTTTTATGATATGGAGCTTCCGAAAGGATTAACCAATATTGTCCATTTGGTATCTGACCTAAGTCTGATATAAATATTACAAGGTGCCAGAATTGACCTGTTCTTTATATGAGATATGTGATAATTTATGGAAAATATTTAAATGTGCGCGATGTACCAGATACAGTCTACCGATATAGTCCACTTCATCTAATACCGATTATAATATTGGGATTTTCACAATTTAAAGAAAATCGAAAACTTATTTACAATTCAGAAGGAGTGGACCGAAATATCTGCTGGATCAATGGTTTACAGAAATACTGAGAAGTTTGATGAAAATCGCTGACATGTTTCTCATCTTAAAAGGATTAAAATTGTTCAAAATGTTGTTGAGGGGACCGATATTGCCCATTTCCGAGATCGATCTAAGTTTGGCAATATTATTACGATGTACAAAGTTTGGACCAGATCGGATCCTCCCTTCGAGAGTCATGGTGCGCCTAGCCAGCCAGCCAGACAGACAGACAGACGGACGTATTCCCTTAGATTGACTTCAAATGTTCTGAAACAGATTTGGTCAAAACCGACCTAGGGCCTAAAACGGTTATTTCGATGAGGCATGTCGTATCGAATGATATACAGGGTGAGATAACAAAAACTGCAATAAAGTCAAACACCATAATTTTTTTTATTATTTTTTTAATTTTATTGATTGAAAGCAAAAATGTCAGAAATAGCATCAAATTTTAGAATAAGTTTAGATTTGTCCGAATTGGTTACCTTTGGCACGAATTATGGCCTTCAAACGGCCAATGAAACCGTCACACTCTGCCGAATGTTGCCCTGCGGTATTTTGGCCCATTCCCGGCGAAGCGCTTGCTTGAGGTGATCGGCAGCTCACCTAATACGAGCGGCTGTTATGGTAGCCCACACCATCACCATGGCCGCCGGTTGAGTTCTGGTGGGCAAACGAAGGTGCACATTTTTAGCTGACCTCTTTGGCAAGTAAACACGATGATTTTGTTTGTTTACAAACTGCTGGACAACGGATGTTTTCTCATCGGAGGAAACCAAATTCGGCAGTTCACCACTTTCGGCCAAGCGAAGCATCTCTTTAGCTCTTTTGAGTCTATTTTCTTTCTGTTGCGGTGTAAGTTCTTGTACTCATCAGCTCATTTTTCTATATTTGCTGAATGGAATATTGCGATATGTTCAGCTCACAAACCATTTTTCGGCCACTGCGACGCGGGTTTCGATCAAGTCGCTTCTTTACTTTTCGAATTATTTCGCTGATGTTGCTGTTTTCTTCCGTCCACTTCCTTGGCGTCGGGTTACGCTACCAACATCACGGTAACGAGCGATGGTACGAGACACAAAATATATGTTCACATTATCATGGGAGTGCTCTAACGATAGCCACTTGTGGTTTTCCAGCCAAACATAAAGAAATCACACTATCACGCTTGAATTCCATCACGAATAACTTTTTTTCTGGAAAAATCTCACCAAAATGCTTTTGTACGCTTGTAAACAATATAATGAGCTGTCAGTGTAAAAATTTTAACAGCTGTCGGACGAGTGGCTTAGAAGTGACAATTTATTGCAATTTTTTTCATCTCACCCTGTATAATAATATATGTTCCAAAAATTTTGATTTTTATACCCTAAAGATATACAACTTACAGTTTTTTCACTCTCAGTATAAGTACTTCCATATGTCGTTATTCGATTTTCTTAAGTTGTTCAAACGTTAAGCTTTTTTCAATGAAATACATATCTTAAATGAAACCACTGTGCGATGTTTGGTGGCATCGGCGAAGATATGTTTGTTATAACCTTTTAAAACAACATAAATCGACTTATATCAATTTAAAATTATTGATACGATGAATTGTGTTTTGACTTATCGCTTGTTTAAAAAATATATATTATTACGACATCAAGATAAAAGTATATGTTTCCTTTGTTTACTTAATTTCATTTTGTATGTCAAAGCAATTTCTTTTTATTACATTATGATAATACCTTGTTTTCATAAGTTTTCCATATGATGTATCTAATTAATTTATATTCGTTGTTATTAAAATAAGCCTCAATGAATATAAACTTTTGTTATTTTTATTCAAGAAATCCAATAATTTTAAACTATAAACACAAACTATTTTTTCTTGAAATAAATAGTTTAAAAATATTAGAAAGTTAGAAAAACATGTGGTATTCCAAAAAATCCAAATTGAAATATATGTTTCCTCAATAACACGTATGTTGACTGGATTTTTTTCATTTATTTAAAATTTAAATAGTTATTCCGATTTATATTCATATTCAGCAATTATATTCGGCACTCAGCATTCCTCCATTTACTTTTCAAAAAGTAATTTTCAAAGTTAAGTTATTTTGTTTCATTACCGGCTTGTCCAACGTCTCCCTTATGCCGAGTCTTGGTATTGTGTGCGTGTGGGTGGGTGTGTGGTGGATCTGGGTGGATTTTGATGTTGACTGGGAAATATTGCTGTTGAAAGCAATTTATGAAAATGTGAGTTTTTGCGGCAACGTCCCCGGGAATAAGACAATAGTTTATGTCATACAAGGGAGTAATTAATTGCAATTAATCATATTTTTTCATATCAATTGTCTCCGTGTCTGTTGAATGACATGGCGACATGTTTTGCAACTCAATTCAATATCATTTAAGTCAAAAGCTTACACGAATGTATGGGTGTATGAGTGTGTGGACACGTAGGTATTTTATTGTACTTCGGTGCTTACATTTGTCCGTACAAGTGAGATTATTTAATTGTTCTGCAATAAAAGATATACAATGCACGCCAACAATCCGACTCCATCGACTGACCGACCTTCAGTCTTAAAACAGATTTACTTATGACCAATGCAAACATCAATCATAATCGAATGATATGTGAATTGAAAAGATGATACATTGTAATTCGGAGTAGACATGTCGGTGATTAATTTTATTAGATTAAGTAAGTATATTAAATTAAAAATATTGTTTTGAAACTACAACCGGTATTTAATTTGTATGGAGGATATCTGCGTATTTGTTATATTTTCAGTATTTAAGAACATAAATCAATATCATGCTTGGTAGTAATGAAAATGTAACACGGTAAATTAGAGCTAAGTTTGAGTTATTCGAGTACTTTTTATAACCTGTACAAAAAGAATGGAATTTAATAAATTGTTTTGTGAGAACAGGTGCTTTGAATAGCTGGTTTGTTTGCCACATTGATACGGAATGGAATATATTAGATAAATTTGCAAGTGTCATTAAATCACTGAAGAGCGTTTGGTCCCCAGGGAATCTGTACAGGGAGTTACGAAAAAACTGCAACCAACTTTAAACTGCTGTCATTTCCAAGCCACTCGTCCGACAGCTGTTAAAATTATTCTAGTAACAGCTGCTTATATAGTTCACAAGCGTACAAAAGCATTTTGGAGAATTTTCCAGAATTAAAGTTATTCGTGATGGAATTCAAGCGTGATAGTGTGATTTCTTTATAGTTGGCTGGAAAACCACCACTGGCTATCGTTAGAGCACCCCAGCATTTAAATGTGAATAACTCTTTTGTGTCTCGTACTATCACTCGTTACCGTGATCAAGGATTTGGACGGATGAAAACAGCAACATCAGCAGAAATGGTTCGAAAAGTAAAGAAGCGACTTGATCGAAACCCGCGTCACAGTGGCCGAAAAATGGCTCGTGAGCTGAATATATCGCAATGTCCCATTCGGCAAATATTGAAAAATGACACCGCGTCAGAGAGAAAATAGACTCAAAAGAGCTAAAGAGTTGCTTCGTTTGGCCGAAAGAGATGAGCTGCTGAATTTGGTTTTCTGCTATGTGAAAACATTTGTTGTTCAACAGTTTGTAAACAAACAAAATGATCGTGTTTACTTGCCAAAGAGGTCAGCTGAAAATGTGCACCTTCGGTTGGCCACCAGAACTTAGGCGCCGGCCTCATTTCCAGTGCACAATGGCCACCAAAATCTCCGGATACCAATCCGTTGGACTATTGTGTCTAGAGTATTTTGGAAAGCAAAGTTGGCACCAAAAAATACTAAAGTGTGGATCACCTCAAGCAAGCGCTTCGTCAGGAATGGGTCAAAATGCCGCAGAGCAACATTCGGGCAGCGTGTGCCGTTTGAAGGCCATAATTCGTGCCAAAGGTGACCAATTCGAACAAATCTAAACTTATTCTAGAATTTAATGCTATTTCGACATAATTTGCTTTCATTCAACAAAATTAAAAAAAAAAAAAAAAATGTAAAGATTATGGCGTTTGACTTTGTTGCAGTTTTA